TTTTTTTTTTTTTGTTTTTTTTAATTTGTGCGTTTTTTGGGTTGTGCGAAATTTGACGGAGGAGGTTGTGGTGGGGCCTACAAAAGGTTCGCCGGTGACCGGCTACCGGTAACCGCCGGTGGAGACACGTGTTGACTAGTGAGGCGGAGGAGGATGAAGTGTTTTTTTCTCTTTCTTTTTGCCTCGCTGACTCTCAATCCAATTGTTTTAAAAAAAATTAATTAGAATATCGTGAGCATAAGGGTATTTTATTTTATTAAGAGGGTTTAATAATAAATAGGTTTTATAATATAAATTAATTAAATTTATTAGAAACTATAAACGTTGATTAGAACTGTTTAAATAAAAAGTGAGATTAATAAAAGTTTATATTTTAATCAATAATAAAAAAGTGTATTCAAAAAATAAATTTTAATATAAATATATTAAAAACATTGTGTAAAAAAAAATTAATGTTTTTAAATTTTAATTTTATACAATGCAATAGTAATAATATAAAAATATACATTTTCAACTAATTGAAAAAAAGTAATTGATATAATCATTATAAAAGTCAACCAATTTACAATATTAATTTGTAATTAAATCTCTTCTACTCTTATACAAATTATTTATTCTTTTCAATAATTGTCTAATCATGAATGGTAAGTTTGTTCATTTAATAACAATTATTTTATTTATTATAAGAAATTTTAATTATTTTGGTATAGATAATAATATTATTTACTCTAAACAATTATGTTCAATGGACGGCAAAGCCAAGCCATCCTAGCTTCCTTCCAACTTCCAAGTATCTAACAGCCCAACACATGATAACATAAATTTAATAACAACAATAGCAGATAATTAAATTTAATTTTTTAGTAAAAAAAATATTAAAAAAAAATGAGAAAGCAAGAGAGAGAGAGAGAAAAAAGACTCGTCCGTTTTCGTTACCCCTACGTCTCAGCGCCGTTGGATTCTTATTCCAAATTCTCGGCGGGTCAATTTCTCGTGGCGAGGGAGGAATCTGGTGCGGCGCGAGTGTGATTAAGATCGCTTCGGTTAGTTTTGTTGTTTAATCATGGAAAAGTAACCCCTACTAGATTTTATGATTTTACCCTCACAACGCAGATGTGACTTTTGACTGGTCAACTTTTCATTGTTTAATATTATTATTATTATTATTTGTTATTGTTATTGTTATTGGGAGAGAAAGAGAAGAAGAAAAAAGAAAAGAGAAAAGGAATAAATACTATTATTATTATTTACTTAACAGTTGTGATAATGTTGTTAACTAAGGTGATGATTATGATTATTACTACCAAACACGGCTGAATCATGGCTAAGTCAAAAAAGCAGATTGCGCTACGTTTCAATTTTCGCTTGCGTTTTCGGCTGGGGCTCTTCCTTCTTCTTAGCCTCCTTTTTACGCTGTGTTTGATCCTTTGATGGGACATATATCTATACTATTGTCCTCTTTATACTTCTTTATTATCCAAATATTATTTTTTTAATCCGCGATACCCATCATATCTCTCGTGTTTATCTTACTGTTTAATGTGATGGGTTATGTATTCATGGCCTGTGGATTCAATTCAAACGTATCATATTAAAATTGCTCATTTAATTTGTTGTCCCAATGTGGATGACTACCCTAGCCTTCGATTTCATTGGTGCAAAAGAGAGAAAGAAAGAAAGAAAGAAAATTTCAGTCAGTAAAGTTATCGGAAAATGTTGTAATGTAACTTCCGCTATCGGACATGTCACAATGCTACAAGATTTTAACTAGCCACTTTCCCTTTTACGGAACATATTCCATTTTCGTTTCGTTTTTCAAGTTTCTTTATTTGCTCAAATTCAAGTCGTGAAATACATCGACATGTGCAAATTAAATATGGAAGGACACGGACACCGGTTTGACACGCATTAGAGGTTCACTCCGAAATTAATTTTTCTTGCCAACACTGTTTTGAGATTCCCTAATCATTCAAACTTTTAATTATAGTTTCAACAGTCATTGCTACCAATCTAATATCTAATCGTGTAGGCTTTGATAGGCCTAACTTTTGCAATTTAGCGCCTATCAGCCTTGAATAATAATCATCATCTTCAACACACCTTTTGTTTCTTCATCTCCTTTTCTGTTTTTCTATGTGATGATCACGAGTGTTAGCTTGGTCGGCACTTGCACATAATCACAACAGTTACCAATCCTAATCATCTTCGAGCTTCTTCCGTTTCATACATACAACAACATGATTAGATTGCGGTTTGTCGCCCATGTTTTTACCAATTTTGTTTTCACAAATAGAAAACACTTTTGTCGTCTAATGTTTTTGTTAGTAGAATATCTTAGGCGTGGAAACTATGGCAATTTTGTTATGCCATAGGTGTACATCAACACCTTGTTTTCATACTTCTTTTAGATTTTTTAATGGGTGTTAATAGTGTCACACCTAAAGTGTATACAATAGTAAAAATAATGGGAGGGGAAGGCAAAAATAAGATAACTAATAATTGATGGGATGAGAAAATAAAATAAAACTATGAATTGTAAATAAAATATTATTAAAAGTTGTTAGTTCAAGTAATTCAACACTCATACTTTTTAATTATGAATTTGGGTTCAATTCTCACCTCGGGCACGAAATCAGATTAGAGATATCACTTTACTTTTATACCTTTTAATCCATATATAATTAAAAACTACTCACTTTAATCTTTAAATGAGCATTTATTTTTTTATGTGGTGATGACGTGGCAAACACTATTAGGTGATGACATGGCAGTTCGTCTGCCACGTCATCACTTGACAGAGGGAGATCAACGTCAGACACTAAATTGAAGAAAAAAAATTAATCATGTATTTAAAACAAAAAATAATAAATTCATAGGTAGTAATCTGAAAACCGACCTAATTAGAGATAGTAATCTGAAAAATCGACCTAATTGAAGGTAGTTTGAACATATTTAAGTCGTACTTAGAAAATTTTTCGAAAGTATATATCTTAATTCATGGCACAATATAAAACATTTGTTACTTTTGTTTCTAATTACAAGTGTTTTATGTTTTCTTCATCTTATTAATCTTCACTTTTCTCCACTTCTTCATTGTCCAATATCTTTGTTGGAATTTTTGGTCCATTTTTTATGACAAACCAAAGTTTGAAATCGATGGATTTTATGAATATTTGCATACGCTTCTTTCACTCAGTGTAATTTATGCAATCGAAATATAGTGGCCTCAAAATAGGTTGTCCTTCAGTGACAATTTTCAGATTACTACCTTCAATTAGCTTGATTTTCATAATACTACCTTCAATTAGGTCAATTTTCAGATTACTACCTATTAATTTATTTATTTTATTTTAATTACCTGACAAATTTTTTTTCAATTTAGTACCTGACGTTGGTCCCTCTTTGTCAAGTGATGACGTGACAGACGGACTGCCACGTCATCACCCAACAGTGTTTGCCATGTCATCACCATGTCCACGTGGTAGACCCTTAGATGACGTGGCAGACACTGTTGGATGATGACGTGATAGTCTGTTTGCTACGTCATCACTTAATGGAAGAAGATTAACGTCAAGTACTAAATTGAAAAAAAAATTGTCAGATAATTAAAACAAAAAAAAAATTTAAAAGTAGTAATCTGAAAATCGACCTAATTGGAGGTACTTTGAACATATTTAAGTCAATTGTAAGCTACTAAAAGATGTTATTTCCTTTAAGTATACATACTAATATTTAAAAGATATTTTATAAAATTGTAAACTAATAAACTAAATTTTAGAATAAAAATTATGAATTAATTATAACGTTTGAAAAAAATTTAAATGACAAACTATATGTGTGATAAAATATTTAATATGATAACTAAAATTGTATGAAAGAAATATTTTTCTTAAAATAATAAGATAAAAATTGATGTTAAATAATTAAGTAATCAAAATTAATTCCTAAATATTAAACATTAACATCCATCTTACATGAGAGTGTTTTTAGGAGTTTCTCTACAACGAGAGAGTTTATAAATTTTTTTTCAACTCTTATTTAATTTGATTTTTATTTATCATAATCATTTATTAATTAATATTTTAAAATAAATTATCAATAAATAAAAATATTTGTTTACAACATAAATTATTTATCATAAATATAAGTGTTGGATCGAGCGCTTACCATTAAGCCAAAAGCTATAATTGATGGTCAGGGCGCAACTCTTTCTACTTAAGAACGTAGCAACCCAAGCGCCTCTGATACCAATTGTTGGATC